GGACAGCCAAGTAATGTACTAGTAGACTAGGATAGTAGATGTTGTGGAAGTCAATTTCATGCACTGCCTCATAATTAATACATGCAGTCCTACCATTTTCAAAGGAACACTTCGCGATTTGTATAAACTCACTATGCAGATATGGTATGTTAATTCCTGCAATGAGTTGATCACGCAGCTGGACACGAAGTTGATCACCCGCATCACACTTGGCCGTTTGTCTCTGAGATTCCAGGATAAATTCTCTGGGAATTAGTTTGTTCTCACCAAATATTTCATGAAAATTTTCACCTACACCGCATTCAAAATTTGAACATTTTACATGATGTAGTGGCAGCACTGTGGGAGTTTCTGTCGTGAAAATCAAATGCACTTTCTTCAATGTTAAACACTTTATTTTGTGCTAAGGTGAACCAAAACAGTACAATACAATATCATGCTGCATACCTACGCTCTGGTTTCTTGACTGTATCGTGTTGAATTTCTATTCTTATTGGGATTGGTCCTAATTAGTTATATTATTTCAAATTCACATCTCGTGCTGCGATTCAATGCGTTCATGTAACTCGGCGAAAAATCGCTATTCGATGCATCATCACGGGACGTGGAAATTTATTAGGAATGTTTTGATGCCTGGTATTATTCACATTACTTTAACGAAGATAGCATTTCAGCTCATTTCATGACTGCCAATTAGAAGAGACTCCTATAGTTTGTTGAAACACCTTGCATATCCTGACAAACATACTTTACTTTAGTCCAGAAAATTAAAGAGATCACATACAGATCATTTCCACGTAACGTCATTCAAAACATGTGAGAGAGCAGGCTTCGACAAACCAGTTTGTGCTCTGAATCAGACCATTAGTGATTTCATACTGCAGCACCAGACACAAGCTTCTAGCCACAAGTTCGGTTAACAGATGCATATTTAGTTGCACCACCGTCTGATCGCTTGTGTAAACGACTCTCAACTTAGATGTGATGTGAACCGGGAAACAAGAAGCCCTGACAAACTACGAAGGCTATTTTTCGGAACGTTATTTCATTTAATTCAAATCTTGTAAAACTTTGACATTTATTTTTGTCCCTAATCTATTCTACAGAACATAAGCTTTCGTTGGATGTATCATTCACTGCCATACCTTTTTCTGTTCCGAAGCTATTGTAATTTAAACATATTATTTTGCACCCTATTTTCTACTCTAATTCCCAGCTTTGGACATAATTGTATTTTTCCTAATTATTATACGTTGCGGTCAGGTTATTCACTTATTTATTCATGTACCTTTTTACACTAATCTGAATTCAGTGAATCCAGTGTGTTCAGTGGTCAGGGAAATAGATCGAGTAGTGTACCAGTTGTCTTGTCTTCCCTCTCATTCGTGTGCTTGCCCACCAATCAGGTGGCAGAATAGTTTTCTTCTCTCTACCCCATCTCGAACTCACGCGTACTAGTCTCAAGGTTAAGCCGATCAGCCTATCGCATCAAGGTCGAAATCTAGATTAGACAAGTATCCTCGGCACCAAAAAGTGGGTAGACAAATCAAGGTCATAACAAAGTGGCGACGGAGATATTTTCTATATTGATTGATCCAGAACAAAATGTCTGTATCATTGGACGACCTTAAAACTATTCTACAAATTCAGCAAGCGCAAAATGATGCAAATCAAATGAAGCTTTTAGATGCACTGATGCAGAAGCTGTCATTACATTCATCCAAAACTTATCAATCAGATAAGTATGAATGCATCACAAATTCTATTTGTGAATTCCACTATGATCCTGAATCTGGTATCATTTTCAATTCCTGGTTTCACCGTTGTGAAGACATATTCCGTGTGGAATGCTCAAATCTTGATGACGCAGCTAAAGTTCGCCTACTCCTGAGAAGACTCGGAACACGTGAATACAACAAATATGTGAATTTCATCCTGCCACGAAATCCACGAGATGTATCTTTCAAAGAGACAGTCCAAATTTTATCTGACATTTTCGGCGAACAATCTTCATTATTTAATACTCGCTATCGATGTTTCCAAATATCGAAATCCCCAGATGATGATTATCTCACATATGCTGGTAAAGTAAATCGAGAATGCGAACTGTTCAAAATAAACGAGATTACAGCTGACCGATTCAAATGCTTGATTTTTATATGTGATTTAAAGAATGCAGAAGATGCAGATGTTCGTACCAGGATGTCAGCACGCATTGAACAGGAACCGAATATGACACTACAAATGGTCACAACCGAGTGTCAGAGGTTGATAAATCTCAAACATGATACCGCGATGGTGCAACAGAAGGCTAAACCTTCCGATTTTGGTTCAATTAATGCTCTCAGATCCTCGACATCGTCCAAACAGAACACTACAAGCACACAACTACCTTCTGTTAAACCCCCATCACCATGTTGGTTCTGCGGAGCATGGCATTTTGCGAAACTATGTCCCCCCAAATGCCCTGGTATTGCCCCCAAATGCCCTGGTATGGCCGAGAGCGGGGAGGGTTCGCCCTCCCTCTCGAAATACTCTCACACGGCCACGCGTATACAGCCTCTGCCAGGGAAGTCCTACTCACTGCCTTCTCGTGGCGGGGGTGTTGTTTACGAAAATGAGAGGACGAAAAGCGAATGTCCGGCGCTTTTAACCGGATCCCAATTCTATGGTGCACATGGGCTCCAGTATCCTGCGGGAACAAATGGCGTATGAACCAACTTTTGTTCACCGGCTTCCATGGGACTGCATCTCCTCACGATGCTCCACTGCCTTGTGGACTAGACCTTTAGGTCAAAGGCTCGGGGTGTGGCCCCCTAAGAAAACCACCTGCTTCGGTCTGGGCACCCGGGCAGTATCCCAGCCCACTCACTAAAACTATGATGAACAATTTGCTTATGGAAAATATTCCTTTCTATCTGATTAACATTGAAATAACTCGTACTATTATTATTATTATTGTTATTGTTATTATTATTATTATTATTATTATTATTATTATTATTACTCTACCACGTCATTTATTCACCCTCTCTTATTCGTGTGGCGCATATATATTTGGTGCCCCTCTGTACCAATATTTATGTGTTCAAATAAATAAATAAATAAATTCTGCACGCACGCGCGAAATCTTCGATGTGTTCATCGATGTTAGGCCAGTATACATAACTTCGAGCAATAGCTTTCATTCTTCCAGTACCTGGATGGGCTGTGTGCAATTTTTGCAAGACGATTGAGCGTAAGTTATTTGGAACCACTACGCGATCAGTAAGCATAATACAGTCATTTACGATGGATAAAGATTGACGTCGTTGGTAATACTGTTTCAGTTCATGAGATGTTATACGTGGGGGCCAACCACGCTGGATAAATGTAGCTAGTTGTCTTAAGATAGGATCGCGGCGAGTATGATAAACGATTTGAGCAGCTGTCACTGGGAGAATTTGTGTTGAATTTAACAACATTCTGTTTACGTCTTCTTCCACTGATATAGAAGCGATAACAGTATCTTCATTTTCAAGCTTATGATCACTCATTAAGCGCGATAATGCATCAGCATGACCAAAGTCAGAGGTAGATTTGTATTTGATAGCGAAATCATAACCCAATAGCATTGTAGCCCATCGTTGGAGGCGGTTTGCGGTATAAACTGGTATGCCTTTCTTAGATCCAAAAATTGATAATAGGGGTTTATGATCAGTGAATAAGGTAAATTTTCTACCATGCAGCATTTTGTGAAACTTTTTAACTGCAAAAATTAATGCCAAACCTTCTTTCTCAATTTGACTGTACTTGCGTTCTGCCGAAGTTAATGTTCTGGAAGCATGTGCGATAGCTTTCTCTTTGCCATCTGGAAACCTATGGGATATGACGGCACCGATACCATAGTCAGAAGCGTCTGCGGCAACAACGATTTCCAGCGAGGGATCAAAATATGTAAGGAGTAGATCCGATGTTAATAATGACTTTACTTTGTCAAAACATTTTTGGCACTTACTGGACCAGTCCCATCTTACATTATTGGATAATAATTGGTTCATGGGTGCTTGGAGGCGATGCAATTGTGGCAAAAAGTTACTGTAATAACTGATAAGACCAAGGAATGAACGCACAGTTGCTACATTAGATGGAGGTGGCATATTTTGGATAGCTCGTACATTTTCCGGATCTGGGCGTCGTCCATTTTTATCGAAAACAAAACCAAGATATTTCACAGAGTCCATGAAAAATGTACACTTCTCTTCTTTTAGGTAGAATCCATACTCAGATATTTTGGTTAAAACAGCATCGAGTCGATCGAATAACTCGGACTTACTGGAACCTGTAACGATTACGTCATCCAAATAGACAGCGATTCCTGGCAAATTTGCCAACATAGTGTCCATTATTTTTTGAAAAATAGCTGGTGCTGGTTTTACACCAAAAGGTAAACGCTTATATTGGTAAAGGCCTCTGTGAGTGTTAATCGTCAGTAGTGGTTGGGAGGCTGGATCAACTGCTATTTGGAGATATGCATCAGCAAGGTCAATCTTAGCAAAATACTTTCCTCCATTTAGTTTGATGAAAAAATCTTCCTGTATGGGAAGTGGATACGTGTGATCTTCTAGGGCATTATTCAGACCAGTGGAAAAGTCAGCACATATGCGAACAGTCCCATTTGCCTTTTTCACGACCACTATGGGGGCAGCCCACGGTGAATAATTTACTGGCTGGATGACACCTAGCGCTTCTAATCTGTCCAGTTCCTGGTCAACGACTGACAGAGCAGCATAAGGCACTGGTCGTTTCGGTCTGAAAATTGGCTTTGCATTTTGCTTCAGTGACAAGGATACTTTGGTGAACTTACAACAGCCCAGTTTGTTTTGAAATACACCTGCATGCTTTTGTCGCAGATGATTTATGCGAGATGTGGACGACATTTGAGAAGAAACAGAAGACTTTGTTGTGGACATAACACTGGCACAAATTACATGAGGTTCTGAAGTTTTACGCGAGCTTACTTTGTCTGAGGTATTTGATTTGGAATCATTGTGAGGATATGTTACATCGGAGGAACTTGATTTGGGAATCTTATGAGAACATACTAAATCGGAGGTATTCGATTTAACATCATCATGAGAACACATTACATTGGAAGCATTTGATTCAGAAAGATTATGAGAGCATGTTTCATCAGAAGCATTTAATTCATGAATATCAAGAGAACATGATACATCGGAGGCATTTGATTTAGAAATATCATCAGGAATTTTGATAGGCTCAAAGGAAGCATTTTGAGAACATACCTCATTTAATAATTTATTCAAGGTATCAACCTTCTCAATCCAGTCTAATCCTAATAAATCTAAATCGTGCCGATTTGTAAGATAACAGACATCGGTGAACTTATGTCCCATGAATTAAACGTTGCATGTGACTTCTCCTGTCAACTTCACTATATCTCCTGAAGCATTGCGAGCAACATGTTCTGTTGGTCGGATGCGTGTACATCCCAGATTACGACATGTGTTTTTGGAAATCAGTGTAACATCAGAAGCAATGTCCAATTGAAGACGTATGGGTTTTTCATTTACAATTAAGTTTACGTACTTCCGCTTACTTTGAAAACCAACTTTGAAGGCTGCGAACGTGCTTTTAATTTGACTTTGTGGTGGTTGCTTCGCATTTCCACTACGACAATTAGACTTACGTTTATTCGATGAGCAATGACCTTCTTTATGACCAATGCGATGACATTTGCGGCATTTGTGATTCTTGAACGGACATAGTTTCGCAAAATGCCATGCTCCGCAGAACCAACATGGTGATGGGGGTTTAACAGAAGGTAGTTGTGTGCTTGTAGTGTTCTGTTTGGACGATGTCGAGGATCTGAGAGCATTAATTGAACCAAAATCGGAAGGTTTAGCCTTCTGTTGCACCATCGCGGTATCATGTTTGAGATTTATCAACCTCTGACACTCGGTTGTGACCATTTGTAGTGTCATATTCGGTTCCTGTTCAATGCGTGCTAACATCCTGGTACGAACATCTGCATCTTCTGCATTCTTTAAATCACATATAAAAATCAAGCATTTGAATTGGTCAGCTGTAATCTCGTTTATTTTGAACAGTTCGCATTCTCGATTTACTTTACCAGCATATGTGAGATAATCATCATCTGGGGATTTCGATATTTGGAAACATCGATAGCGAGTATTAAATAATGAAGATTGTTCGCCGAAAATGTCAGATAAAATTTGGACTGTCTCTTTGAAAGATACATCTCGTGGATTTCGTGGCAGGATGAAATTCACATATTTGTTGTATTCACGTGTTCCGAGTCTTCTCAGGAGTAGGCGAACTTTAGCTGCGTCATCAAGATTTGAGCATTCCACACGGAATATGTCTTCACAACGGTGAAACCAGGAATTGAAAATGATACCAGATTCAGGATCATAGTGGAATTCACAAATAGAATTTGTGATGCATTCATACTTATCTGATTGATAAGTTTTGGATGAATGTAATGACAGCTTCTGCATCAGTGCATCTAAAAGCTTCATTTGATTTGCATCATTTTGCGCTTGCTGAATTTGTAGAATAGTTTTAAGGTCGTCCAATGATACAGACATTTTGTTCTGGATCAATCAATATAGAAAATATCTCCGTCGCCACTTTGTTATGACCTTGATTTGTCTACCCACTTTTTGGTGCCGAGGATACTTGTCTAATCTAGATTTCGACCTTGATGCGATAGGCTGATCGGCTTAACCTTGAGACTAGTACGCGTGAGTTCGAGATGGGGTAGAGAGAAGAAAACTATTCTGCCACCTGATTGGTGGGCAAGCACACGAATGAGAGGGAAGACAAGACAACTGGTACACTACTCGATCTATTTCCCTGACCACTGAACACACTGGATTCACTGAATTCAGATTAGTGTAAAAAGGTACATGAATAAATAAGTGAATAACCTGACCGCAACGTATAATAATTAGGAAAAATACAATTATGTCCAAAGCTGGGAATTAGAGTAGAAAATAGGGTGCAAAATAATATGTTTAAATTACAATAGCTTCGGAACAGAAAAAGGTATGGCAGTGAATGATACATCCAACGAAAGCTTATGTTCTGTAGAATAGATTAGGGACAAAAATAAATGTCAAAGTTTTACAAGATTTGAATTAAATGAAATAACGTTCCGAAAAATAGCCTTCGTAGTTTGTCAGGGCTTCTTGTTTCCCGGTTCACATCACATCTAAGTTGAGAGTCGTTTACACAAGCGATCAGACGGTGGTGCAACTAAATATGCATCTGTTAACCGAACTTGTGGCTAGAAGCTTGTGTCTGGTGCTGCAGTATGAAATCACTAATGGTCTGATTCAGAGCACAAACTGGTTTGTCGAAGCCTGCCCTCTCACATGTTTTGAATGACGTTACGTGGAAATGATCTGTATGTGATCTCTTTAATTTTCTGGACTAAAGTAAAGTATGTTTGTCAGGATATGCAAGGTGTTTCAACAAACTATAGGAGTCTCTTCTAATTGGCAGTCATGAAATGAGCTGAAATGCTATCTTCGTTAAAGTAATGTGAATAATACCAGGCATCAAAACATTCCTAATAAATTTCCACGTCCCGTGATGATGCATCGAATAGCGAATTTTCGCCGAGTTACATGAACGCATTGAATCGCAGCACGAGATGTGAATTTGAAATAATACAACTAATTAGGACCAATCCCAATAAGAATACAAATTCAACACGATACAGTCAAGAAACCAGAGCGTAGGTATGCAGCATGATATTGTATTGTACTGTTTTGGTTCATCTTAGCACAAAATAAAGTGTTTAACATTGAAGAAAGTGCATTTGATTTTCACGACAGAAACTCCCACAGTGCTACCACTACATCATGTAAAATGTTCAAATTTTGAATGCGGTGTAGGTGAAAATTTTCATGAAATATTTGGTGAGAACAAACTAATTCCCAGAGAATTTATCCTGGAATCTCAGAGACAAACGGCCAAGTGTGATGCGGGTGATCAACTTCGTGTCCAGCTGCGTGATCAACTCATTGCAGGAATTAACTTACCATATCTGCATAGTGAGTTTATACAAATCGCGAAGTGTTCCTTTGAAAATGGTAGGACTGCATGTATTAATTATGAGGCAGTGCATGAAATTGACTTCCACAACATCTACTATCCTAGTCTACTAGTACATTACTTGGCTGTCCTAATCCGACTTTTGGTCTATGTCACACGAAGAGACGTTTGATTAACGGTATTTTCCGTCCTCGCGAAAACCTGAGAAGTAGTTCATCGAAGAATCGCAAAGCAGTAAACAAATGTAAGCACAAGATCGGTAAATGTTTGTCATGCGTCAAAGTTCATTTTCGTAATTCGTGTTCGTTTCTTCATCTTATATGCTTTAGGTGTGCTCACTACCTGGTTAAACTTTTGCTAAATAAACGGTTACTTCCATCACAATTACTATTATTATTGTTATTATTTTTATTATCATCACTAATACTTCACTCATGTACACCAATTTCTGTGCGTTTTCTCTCTTCGTTTTGCTGTGTGCATTGAACATTATTTTCAACTCTGCGCATACTCATTGTTAATGCGTGGCGCATATGCGTTTGACTCTTCATCGTACCAATGTACAAGTGTCCAAATAATAATAATAATAATAATAATAATCATTCGTTTAAATTCCCAAATCGCAATGTGTGCCATTGGTTAATCACATTATTTGTTGACAGTAATCATTTCAATCACCCCCTATATGAGGATGATTCAAAATGGTCGAATTAATTTAGAAACTAATAAATATATTTTATTGCATAATTCTCATTGTGCATTTTTCCACTCTATGTAATTATTATCTGAGGATATGTCATGATGTGGCTTGAGTGCCATTCCTGAGAGTAGATCAGTGTGTTTGAGGACAGTTGAAAAGAAACCACGAGAACGAGTGAGACGACGACTAAGTAGGCACGCAGAATGCACTTACAATCACAACTAGAAGTGCAAAGATGTGACCATCACCCGGAATAATTTAATAGAATAGTGAGTCACAAATCACGTGATTCCCACTGGATAAACATTCACTGAACAAGAACGAAGAAACAGTGTGAAACAGTGATGAACACAAGTGGAGGTACTCGACACGCACAAACAACACAATTCCGAATAACAGATCATCACTCCGAATTACTCAACAACACCACATTCACCAGTCTATTCTCAAGTATGACACAATTCACGTGTTCAACCTCATCTCTCATAACCATATCCAAATCAAGTCATCCACACATTGTACATGTGATCAGTGTTGACTGGCACGAAACATGGATTTATTCATCACAACCTACTCACGTTCAGCATGAACAGCTGCCAATCGTCACATTCGCGTGTCACTGGAGCACAGTGGAACACGTGTGCAACGTGACTGCTTCAGTGTTCATGAACTTCCGTTTCAGTGATTGTGTCACGTGACTTTCAACTGTAATCCTCCATGTTCCGACTACTCTCACCATATAAATAATTGTGAAACACGGTGTATTCTGATTAAAGTGGTTGAGTGAACAACGATTGGTGAGTGAAGTAAGTCATCGAATTGCACTGAGTCGCAGTGTATCCATATCAAGACACAACACTACACCACACATCACCACACTACAGCACACTTCACTACACAACACAACAAAACACAACATCTCACTCCACACGTGGCATCCAGTTCACTCGCACCAATCACGCAACACACAACTGTCGTTCACTAATCTGCATTCTTCTTCTTCTTCTTCTTCTACTTCTTCTTCCAGAACTGTCATGGGACTCGTCTTCTTACTACTACTCAATGTCTTCCTCTTCGAACAACTACTGACCGAACCAATACCATTCAACCCCACCGTTCAAGATAATCAAGGTATGTGTGTGCGTGTGTGTATGTGTATGTGTGTATTCCACCGAGAATCGTGATGGTAAGCACAAGACCAGTGAACTCGTCAGCCTCAATCTATCCATATGTTGGTATATCCTAGTATCTGAACATGTCCATTGTGACCGAGTGATTGTCGTTTCTAGAGTCGGATAAAAAGATGAAGGTACTCGTTAGGGGCGACTAGCATCCAATGTGTGGTTGTGAATTTGTATGTTCACTGAGACAAAGTGTTTTGCAGCATTGGCAGTTGATTGTGATTACTCTGATGACCTACTGTTTCGGATTGCTTCCGTTCCACTTGGATGATCGGATATTATCAGTAGTCGTGTGTTCATTGAGTCGACTGACCATTGGACAGAGCTGCAGTAAATAAGTGTGCGGTTGAACAGTGATTCAAATTGTGTTCCACTGTGCACACTCACATACAGATAGAGTTCAATTAAGCCAAGTGACTACAGACTGCATTCCTCAACGTTTCTCTAATAATCTGATTATTTTTTGTTCTGTAGGTGTGGACGGCTCCAAACCCAATATAGTTTTCATCGATGACGGAGATGATAAATTCAACTTTGAGCATGACGGAAATTTATATCCTTCAAACTCACAACTGCAACGTGAATACCATGATAGTCACAATCCCAATCCTCCATATTATATACCTGAGCGTTATCTGGAAATGAGGAACAGAAATGCTGGTCGAGACTGGTATCCAGGAATTCGTCGTCCAGACATTGGACAGTACTATTGGTACTATTGAAATATTGAACCGAGATGGATCTGTGTTTAACTCAGAACACTTCTCATATCTCAGTATCACCGATTTCTCCAAATTCCTCTTCACATCATCACAATTTACATACACGATATCATCTCCAGTTGTACTATTCTATCATTTGTATAACCATTAAATATACCTAATCCCACATCAACGATTTTCTATCGTCTTCCATCATCTATGATCTAATCATGCTGATTATGTGGGTCTTTCAA